CGGTAGGCATCATCGCGACAAACGCATCAGTCACCTGCAGAAGGTGGCAGCAATTCATCGACTAAAATCAGTAGGAAGCAAGCATCAAACGAGGATAAAGAGGTGGAGTCATTTCGACTAGAAAATGCGCGCTTGTCGTCTTGAGGAATATTGATTTTCCTCGGGTTTTATTCTTTCTCGCCCTGTCCTTGGCAGTTGGCGCACTGCAGCAGTATTGTCGAGTGGACAACTTATTAGCATAGTATTGTGGACTGAGGAGAAGTGACCATCGGTTTGTCAAGTGCCAATCGTGAATACGGTAGTACGGCGTGATTAAAAAAGTGATGGAAAGCACAACACAGCACAAAGCAAGCAATGACTAGTTACTCGGTCGTCCAGATGAGAGACGAACAAGAAAAAAGACGTGCTTCAGCGGCCTCGACGCCCATTTGTCGATACTCGGACGTCGTCGCTGCCTCCGGCGTTGCCGCCGCCGCCGGCGCCGCGACCTCAGCGCCACTGTTGGCCGCCTAGAGGCCATGTGTTCTTTCGCGAAGAGGAAAAGTTTGCGTAGCCGCTAGTGTATTAGTCGTTCAGCAAACACCTTCACTTCGACTCGGTGTGTCTTGCGTCTAAAATTACCGATCTCCTCTCTGTCTGTCAAGAGGCGCAAGAGGACGACGACGAAACGAGACGAGACGAGACGAAAGCCGGCCGGAAAGCAGCTGCTGCGGTAGTGGAGGATGTAGGATGTAGCAGGCCTTCGTCTCATCGCCTGCCTGCCAGCCGGCCAGCCAGCCAGCCAGCCAGCGGCGGATCATCGCGCGCGTGAGCTGAGGGAGGTGAAGTAATAACTCATTGAGTGACTGTGACTGACCACGGCGACGACGACCAAAGACCAACGACCGGCGTTTGTCATACCACCAGCCGATCGTCCTCGTTCTTTATTAAATGAACTCTTGCCTTGTACTTCAGCGTTTTCGCATATTTAACTCTCTGTCACTCGCTTAGCTTAGCCTTAGCTACCTCCGCATTTGCATAGGTTATTTCGCATTTTTTGCTTTCCGTCGTATTTTCACCCCATACTTTCTTTCTTTCAGTCGATGCAAATTATCTGCCTATCGCCCGTTTTACCGGAAATCTCTTCCTGTCTCCTCTCGCATCGTCCTCACGTGCTCGATGAGTCTCGTCTACCGCCACCTCAGCTCCGCCACCACAACAAATAAACGACTCTCGCACCACCGCTGTCGCGCCGTCGCCGTCGCCGCCGCCTCTCGTCTTGCGACCGTCCGTCGTCGACTCGACAACCGGTGCGAGGATGAGGATGCTCACTCACTCATTCATCCAGTGGCACTAGCCGTTTCCGTTTCCGTACGTCCGTCCGTCCGTCCGTCCGTCCGTCCGTCCGTTTGAGCATCGACCGACGACAACCGCGTCCTGGTCGTCACTCCGTTCCGTTCAGTTCAGTTCAGTTCCATTCGCTGCTGCTGCCAGCTGGCTGTTGTTGTTGCCATTGACTGATTGCGAGTGATCATCGTCTCTTCCTCTTTCTCCCAACCTTATCAATCAGTTCGTCCTCTGGTCGCGCGCATTGCAACTTTCCTGTCGCTACCTCCTCGTCGCCGCCACCACCTCGCTGACGCATTTCTTCTGTTAAGGTACAAATCAACATCCTCCCTACCGTCAGCCTCGTCGTCGTCCTCGTCGTCGTCGTCGCCGTGAAGAATTAATAGCCGACTATGGCAACGGCTGGCTTCCCTCAATTTTTTGACGGACGTCGCCGACTTCGCCTCAACCATCGTCGTGTGCATTACTTCCTTCTCTTTAATTATTAGTTTGCTTTATTTTCGGTCCATCGTTCACTGTCCACAGATTACCGCACGTCGTCGTCGTCGTCGTCGTCGTCGTCACTGACGCCGTCGTTCGTCTGTCCGTCATCCTTCTTCCATAGCCATCCGGCCGGTCCGGCATCCGAATACCGTTACCAGATCCTGACCGTTGTCGTGTTCAGCAAATACAAATACCAACGTCGTCGTCTTCTGCGCACTGCCAACTTCGTGTTCTTCTGTTCGACTGTACTGCGTCACATCACCTGACCTACTGCTTTGTTCCCTCAACCTCTCAGGTCTCATGCCTTCTGTCACGTTGATGCCAATGCCGATTGTTGTTCAACGTTACCGTCGCAGTCTTCGCCCTCGCCCTCACCCTCACCCTCACCCTCGTCCTCTTCTGCTGCTGCTGTTGTTAACCTCGCGTTGTTCGTCGCCGTCGCCGTCGCCGTCGCCTTCGTCGTCACTTCGCCCCGCCTACACGTATTTGCTACAGCCACAGTCTTAGCCACAGCCACGATCGCCGTCACATCAGCAACACGTGGACGGTTCTGATCATCGCCACCGCTAAACAAGAAACGAAAAGAACGCAAGCGGCAGCAACAGCAGGAACAGGAGGACAACGAGTGTGCGTCAGGCTGCGGTGAGCATGAACGGAGGTCGCTTCGACTTCGACGACGGCGGCTCGTACTGCGGCGGTTGGGAGGACGGCAAGGCTCACGGTCATGGCGTGTGCACCGGCCCTAAAGGTCAGGGTGAATACGCCGGAGCCTGGCACTACGGCTTCGAGGTATCCGGCGTTTACACGTGGCCTAGCGGCAACACCTACAAGGGACAGTGGCAGAATGGCAAACGCCACGGTTTGGGCGTTGAACGCCGCGGAAGGTGGATTTACAAGGGCGAATGGACCCAAGGGTACAAGGGACGCTACGGAGTCCGACAGAGCGCCAACTCGCTCGCCAAGTATGAAGGTACCTGGGCCAATGGACTGCAGGACGGTTACGGGACCGAGGTTTACGCCGACGGCGGTAAGTGCCACAAATGCATTCATTTAACATGTCGTATGTGTTTTATCCACTCCGGTTAGCAAGCTGACCGAATCATGGCTACGCAGTTGCGCGTGGTCTTTACTTCTAACTCATTCGAGCATTCCGCAACAAAGCTTCCCTCAATACGGATCCTTCCTTTTTTTATGTCCTCTACTTCCCTCACTTGTTCAGCTACGTGGTCGATAATACTCACTGCGAACTCCAAAGTCTAATCTCCTTTCCTCTGAGTTGCTTGCTGTTTGTACGACGCCCGAATCCCGTCGCCGGCCGATTCAAAACTTGTACATCGTTGAT